TAACCGAAGGTGTCTGATGTTTAACAAAGAACAGCGGACTCGGGACGTCTGATGTTTAACCAAGTGTGTCTGACTTGGTGTCTGAGTGATGTCAGACCCAGGACGTCAGCCCAGCGACGCCGGGAGAGTGCCAAGGGTGGGCTGGCAGTGCCGCGGGACTCACTCTGCCAGGCAGTCGGGGAACCAGGCCCCTCCACTCTACTCGGAACTTCTGCATCGGCCTTCGGGCCGGGGGTGTCTACAGAGAAGGACTTGGCAGCTGTGTCAGGGGACTCGGTGTCCGGGGGTCAGCAGGGTCCAGTGTGGCCCAGCGCTGACACTGGCTGGCACCAGCGTCCTCCACGGCCACGCACGGGGCCTGCAGACCACGTCTGCTCCCTCCTTGCTCACTACATCCCTGCAGGGATGGGGAGTCCACAGAACTTTCCTTCTTGTCACACCACAGACCGTTTCCACTTCCACTCCGCCTCCTGGACCCACTTCAGCCAACAAATCTTCCTCCAGGGCAGCGATGATCGGATGCAGCCCACCTTCCGGCAGGGAGCAGAAGTCACCTCCTTTGTTCTGGCCCATATATACCTACTGATTTGGTCCGCGCTCCCTCTTGAATTTTGATGGCTATTCCGATCTCTCTGACGGGTCAGACCTGCAGGCCTCTGTTCCACGTTCCCCTCTCAGGCTTGGACTCTGTCCAGACACAGGGCTGCCTTAACTTTGACGGTCAAGTTAAGCGGGAAACGTTGCCCATGCTGCCATCCATGGATGCCACGGCCGGCTGGGGGCTCTGGGCCCTGTCTCCTGTGGCTGGCTGGTGGCGGGGGGCGGAGGGGGAGGGGAGCTTTCCTTGCTTGGCCTCTGGCTTCAAGGCTTTTTCTTCCAGTTCCAGGGAGAGAGGGGAGTACTGTGTAGATCCGAGAGGGAACCAACCGTCCCTGCTTCTCCCCTCCTGTCCTTCACAGACCTGCCTGTCCTGAGGCTGCCCGTCTTTGCCCGTCCCCTTCTCCCTGCCCCGCCCTGTCCTGCTGTGCACCTGCCTTCCCCACCCCCTCAGGTCCCCAGTGCAGACAGCGCTTGCCCTCCATTCATCCCCTGCCCCCTCAGCAGCTGGTTCTGAGCACAGAGAAGCAGAGACCCCAGGATCTGGACTGTGTGCACCCAGGCTTGCAAAGCCAGCCAAGTGGCTGAGAACAGCGGAGGGGCCGCTGGTGGTGTGTTTGTGATGTTGGACACGTGCGGGAGCAATCCGGGGGGGGGGCGGGCGGGGTGGAAGTCTGGAAGGCAGGGCACAGGGCTGGGTGGGGGCATGGTGTGGCTGTGACCACGTGTGGGACACGGGGCTGTCGCCCTTTACTCTGCCCAGAGCCTGGGGCCCTAGCCTCCTAGTGAGGCCTCTCGTGGGGCTTGGGAGTGGGGCCAGGCAGGAGAGACCCATATCTGGCAAAGGACCAGCTTCAGCCATGCTGGGTGGGAGCCCAATCCTCCTGCCAGGCTGGCAAAATGCTCCTCCAAGCCATTCTCCTTCCCCTGCCATGACCACGCTGCTGGGCAGGGGCAGAGGGCTGGGGTGGGGTCGTGGGCCCCGGCACAGAAGGCGCAGAGGGTGTGGGTGAGAATGCCATCCCGCACACCAGCCCCGGTGCAGAGGGAGCCTTTCTGGGGGCCCAGGAACCACGAGGAAGGGCAGGCCTGGGCCTTCTCCCTGCCCCGCCCGGGCCTGCTGTGCACCCTCCCATTCGATGCCGATGGCCCCTCCTGGGCTGCTAGGCAGAGGGCACACTCAGCACATTAGCATCGGCGGTGATTGCCACCTTCTCCTCTCTGCTCCCCCCCATCTTCCCCTCCAGGTTTGGTTTCCATAACAACCCCAGAAGGTGGGAGGCTGTGCTAACTGGCAGGTAATGCCCAGCTGGGAGGGGGCCACAGGAAGAGCTCTGGCTGGCGGGCTACAGGCTGGGCCTGGCGGGCTTCCTGACACCCCCTCCAACCCTCCCACCACCTCGAAATCAGGTGGAGGTGGGGGTGGGGGTCAGGTCGAAGCCTGGCCAGGAACACCAGACTTGGGGTGCCTCTCATGGTTATGAGCTAGGAGACATTGCTGCCGATACATTCTACCGTTTTGGGCAAGTGCAGGCTCTCTCTGGGCCTCGGTTTCCCCATCTCCATAAGACAGAGATGGGATGGGGAGTTTCATCGAATACAACTTTGCTGCCACTTAAGACTCCTTGGATTATCCTAAGAGCCCGGCGTTATTGACCCAGTTGGCTAGAGCAAAATGCATTTCACGGCATTCCCACGGCAGCAATTAATTGTTTTCATGAGACAGAACCAGTGTCAGTCAAAGCTGCCAGGCCAACCCAGCCCAGAGCACAGAGCTGACGTCCAGGGGGTCCATGCGGTCCTAGGGACGACAGCGGCCTCTGAGGCCTCGTTCTGCTCTGTCCCCCCGGTTCTGGCACAGGGTGAAGGCAGGCCGGGCACACCTGCTCTGTGACTCCGAGCGGAAGACGGGGTTCCCCATGGGATCCTGTGGGGGATGGAGGCCGGGATTCTCTCCTGAGACGGGACAGGAGGACTGGCGAAGGGCCTGAGGTCACGCAGAGCATTTCCCAGAGTCATGGGCTGAAGATAGGCCAGAGCCTGGTGCCCATCAGACAAGGGCCCAGGGCACGGTGTCTTTCCCAGGCTCAGGGGCATCGTCCTCATGAAACTGTGCTGCTCAGGCTCCGGGGTGGGAAGGCAGCCGCTGTGTCCTTCCTGCTGAGCCCCCTTCCTGTGACACTGGGGCTTCAGGGGCCCATGGACCACTGTCCCTCTCCCATGGGGCACAGCGGCCATACTACCCCTTCCCAAGTCAGTGCAAACTCCCGCTCCCACTCTCCTCCGACCGCATGTTCTCAGCTGACCATCCTGCTTGTTATCACTGAGCAAAACAGCAGCACTCAGAAGAGACAGTTCTCTTGTCATGGGCTCTATGAGTCCACCTCCCTCTCCACCTGAAATCCTGCCTTCCCCACTCAACGCCAGCGCTCCGCCTGGCCCTGGATTCCCCCGCCCTCGGCCTGCTCAAGCTTCCATCCTGCAATTCCCCCTCCTTCACCCCAAACTTCCCTTCTCTCCCGAATGCTGCCCATCTGCCTGCAAAGACACCTCCCTCTTTAAACACCCTCCCTGCACCCATCTTCCCCTCTGGCCACCACCCTGCTTTTGATCCTGTTTACAGCAAATCCCACAACATCGATGTCTCCACTTGCTCCGCCTCCCCTCCTCCCTCTCTCTATAATCAGGCGTAAGTCCTCCACTCATTGACCTGTCTTGTCAAGGTCATTAGCAATATTGACGCTGATGGTCCAGTCTCAGTTCTTGCCTTCCTCACGCAGCCTTGTATCTTTCAAATTGAGTCCCAGACCTCAGTTGGCTTTTGGGGCACTGCTCTCTCCCGATTTCCCTCCACCCTCCCTGGCAGTGCCCTCCCGCTCCCCCCGCCCCCCATCTTGACCCCGAGATGTGGAGCGTCCCTCGGTCCAGCCCCCAGGCGGCTTCCCTGCTCCGCCTACACCCCCTCCTGGATGAGCTCAGCTGGTCTCCTGGCTTTAACACCCTCTGCACCCCGATGGCTTCTGAACGTACGTCTCCAGCTCGGACCTCTAGCCCAAGCTCCAGGTTGGAACCTCCAGCTGCTGACTCCATATCTCGCCCTGGATGTTGTCAAACTTAATACATTCCAAAGTGGCCCTTGGACTCCCTGCCTCCCTCTGCCAGCTCCTCCCTCCATTCTCCATTTCAACAAGTGGTAACACCATTCACCCAGCGGCTCCAGCCAAGGATGGCCCTGGGCTCTCCGGTCAGCCCCATCTTCACTGTATATCCAGAATCTGACCATGGCACTCACCTTCCCCACCTGGACCCTGGTCCACCCCACCCCCTCTCCTGGCTACTAAAATAGCCTCCCAACTGCTCTGCTTCCACCCTTCCCCTCTGTCTCCTGTCCACAAGGCAGCCAGAGCGTTCTTTGGCTCCCATTGCACTTGGCTCTTACTGTGGCCTGGGAGGAGCCTGCCCCCAGCCCCACCACTCTGGGTCCTCCTGCCCCACTACTCTTTCTCCCGCTCGCTCGCTCAGCTCTGCCCAGCACCGGTCTACTGCTCTAAGTCTACACTGAGCCCCTGACCCCAGCTCCTGCTTGGGAGGCCCTCCCTGATCGGTTGTCTCCACCAGAACCCAGCACCCGATGCCTGGGACACTGATGCCTGGGACACCGAGTGACAGGCTTCAACCCAGCCCTTCAGCCAGGGTGTCCTCCCAGGCGAGGAGGCAGGGCCAGGGGTCGCGTTCACTTCCTGGTGAGCTCCTGGGCATTAGTTTTCTCATTTGTAAAATAGGGTAGGGAATCCCCATCCAGCCCACCTCTCTGGCTGGTGGGAGGACCAGTGGGCCATGTCAGGGACCAGGTGCCTTAAAATGAGCCGAATGTGGAGTCTACGACTGGGCAGAGCAGACAAGCTGGTGGGCGTGGCCTGAGTTCCTGGGGATGCCCGGCAGTTCCTGGGGATGCCCGGCAGTTCCTGGGGATGCCCGGCCACTTCCCCAGGCTCCTTCTCTCTCTTTACTGTGGTTTCATTCACAGTCACTGTTCACTGTGGTTGGGACATTTCAGGCTGTAACCCTGGGTTCCCTTGGTGGATAGGCCAGAGGGTGCTCAACCAGAATGTTAACGGTGTCCCGTGAGCACAGGGCTGCCCTGAGGCTACGGACGGGCAGTGGACCTGACCACCGTGGCCTGAGCTACTCTGGGCCCGGCTATCCCACCAGGATGAGCTGAGGGCTCCATCCTGACTTCCCCCTGCCATGGCAGGAAGGTGGGCTGTTAGACGGCCCCATGCAGAGCCACAATGTGGACGGCAGTAGGGAGGCCGGGAGGGCGGGGTGCAGCGAGATGCACTTGTCCCTCGGGGTGGCCTGGCGCAGCACCGCACAACGCAGAGGGGGAGCGAGGTACTCACGCCATGATAATCACGCTGAAGTCCAGCCAGTTCCACGGGTCCCGAAGGAAGGTGAACGCGTGCAGGCAGAAGCCTCGGGCCAGTATCTTGACCAGAGACTCAAAGGTGTAAATGGCAGTGAAGGTGTACCTGGGAGGAGAGACGGGTCTCTCAGGGAGGCGAAGCCTGCGGCCAGGCTCCCCGGCTCCCCAGGAGGTGTGAGTCCTGCGCGGCCCCCTCTCAGGGCCCCCAAGCTGGGCTGGCAGTGTGGGCTGAGCTTTGTCTCCAACCTCCGGCTAACAATCCATCTTCCCATGTGGCTACTCATACAGAGTGCCTGCCACGTGCCCCCTGTGCCTCCATCTCCTCTTGGTTGTCTTGATGTCAGAGGACCCTCCACCGACCTCCTTACCCCAGGCCTGGGAGTCCATGGGCACAGGCCTATGGTGGCCACTGGGTCTGCCCCGTGGGACAGTAAGGACACCCAAGTCACAGCCCCTCGCCTTATTTGTGGGTCCTCAGCAGCTAGTGAGGAGAGAGCATGGTCCGCGCTCAACCGCCTACAGGGCAGGTGGCTACAGATGTCTATCGTGACCTTGGAAAGGGGGTTCTATTCTAACACCTGAGGACGGGTAGGGACTGTTCTCTCTGCCTGGGGTGGGCTGAAGGCTCCTACATGCCTGGATGCAGGGGCTGTGGCCCCAGGAATGGAGAGGGCCACCCCCTGTGCCCCCCAGGTCCCAGCAGCTGGATGCAGGCCCCGGGGAGGGGCCAGCACTGAAGGTCCGTGTGAACAGGGAACGGCCACCCGCAAGCTTCTTTCCATTCTCCTGAAAACAGGAGCCAGATGCACCACAGCCTCTCAGGTCTGCTCAGCACCCGCGGGTAAGGCTGTCATCGGGGAAGGACGGAGCAGAAGCAGTTTTCTAAACGGTGCACATGGTGACAGAGGCAGGACTCGGAGGGAAAAGGCGGCAGAGTGTGGTGTTGAAGTGGGGAGAGCCCTGCGCCTCTTCCGGGCGGCCGCACCTCCCAGCGGCATGGTATCGGGCAAGGCACTACTCTCCTCCTCTGTCTCCTCATCTGTCAAATAGGATGTCCGCCTACCCTCCTGGGTCCCCGTGAGGGTTAAAGGAGGTGATGATGTTTACTGTTCAATGGCAGACCCATGCGCTAAGCGCTCAATCAGTTATTATTATTGTTGCTGCTGTTTTTTGAGAGCCTTCTCCCATGTCCTCAGGCCTCGTTGGGGGGAACCCCTACTTTGCCGACCTGGAAAGCTTCCTCCCCTGAGGGCACAACTCAGAGCAGGAAGCTGGCAGGAGGGGAAGCAGCAAAAGAGGGTGGGGGCTGGGCCAAGAACCCCCCAGGTGGATGCGTCCCTGAGCCTGGGCCCAGCCCTCTTCAGGGGTGACTGGCGGGGCCGCAGAATAGAAGGGGGAGGAAGGGGGGGAGGGCCCAGCCGGAGAGGCCCTGCAGATACTCACTCGACATACTTGGTCCAGGGTGGAGGGTCGTGCTGGGCCATGAACACGCAGTTGGTCAGGATGGTGCACATGATGAGCATGCTGAAGAGCGTGGCCAGGGGTCAAGGAAAACCACGCTGAGGGGTGGGGGTCAGCCAGGCCACCAGGGCCAGAGGGGCCTGGCCCGGGGGTCGTCACTCCCAGGCCAGGGCTGCCACAGCCATGAGACAGAGGCTCCAAGAAGACACATTGGAGCTGTGCCCAGTCCTTACCAACCTCCCCACCCAGGCTGGCCTCTGTCCTCTCCCTGGCACTGCAGCCCCTGAGAGGGACCAGACACACGAACCTGCACCTTTAGCAGGTCCCCTGAAGGGCCCATCTGGAGGCAAGGGGGGAAGGGCACGCCCAGACCTCGGAGGTTTTTATAGCTTCTTTGGAGGGAGGTGGCATTTGTAAACCTCCTCAGGGGCCACTGTCGGAGAGGAAGGCCATGGTGCAGGGTCCGAGTCCCCCCACCCCCCCAGTTCTGTAGGCGCAGCCCAGGCTGACCTGTGGCCTAGGACTTCTCCGTCGAAGTGTCCTGCTGACACAGCTTCTGTACCTTGTTGGGACACACTGGCCCCGGGAGGCAGGGGGCAGCTTCCCCAGCTGCTTCCTGCCTTGGCACATCTCTTCACTCTTGTCCTCTCTCCCACCTCATACACACCTTCTCCTCCTCTAAGACACGCACCCCCCCCCTCTGAGCAGGAGCACCCCCCGCCGGAGCACCCCCAATAGAGCACTCCCCAGCAGGAGCACCTTAGCATGTGGTTGCTCTCCGACTGTCCATGTCCCCAGCCAGAGGGGAGCTCTTCAAATGCTCGGACTGTCCTGGGCATCCTTCCGGGCCCTTGGCCTTGAACTGAACTGCCTCAGGCCTCGTCTGGCCCTGACTCTTGGGCTGTTAAGTCCCAGCTGCTGCTTCAGGCTGGACTGATCTCCACGGCCTCCCTCACCCCTGCAAGACCTAGAGAAGCAAGGGGCAGACCCTGGGCCCCCCGTGGGCTGGGGTACCCCCAAGAGGCCTGGCCTGGAACAGGAATACTCTGCTGCCCTTACAAATCCCCTCCCCAGCCAGAGAGGAAAGGCTGGGCCTCCTCCTCCCTGTGGCTGCCCCAGGCTCCCCACGCTGCCCCAGCCTCAGCCCCTCATTCCCACAGGCTGCCCGGAGCTGCGGTAATTGAGCTCCAGGGGCCTGCCTCCTTCCTCCTACCACAGCTCCACCTCTTCCACGGCCCGACCCGGCCTCGGCAGATGGGGAGACCAATGCAGTCAGACTGGAGATCGGGCCGAGCTGGGAGCTGACTTGTAAGTGAAGGGGCTGCCCCAGCTGGGGGCAGAAGTGAGGCCTCTCAAGGAATCCAGGTGGGAGCTCTCCACACCCCCAGTCCTCCTAGAGCAGTGGTTCTCAACCTGTGGGTCGCGACCCCTTTGGGGGTCGAACGACCCTTTCACAGGGGTCGCCTAAGACCATCGGAAAACACATAATTACATATTGTTTTTGTGATTAATCACTATGCTTTTATTATGTTCAATGTGTAACAATGAAAATACATCCTGCATATCAGATATTTACATGACGATTCATAACAGTAGCAACATTACAGTTATGAAGTAGCAATGAAAATAACTTTATGGTTGGGGGTCACCACAACATGAGGAACTGTATTAAAGGGTCGAGGCATTAAGAAGGTTGAGAACCACTGTTCTAGAGAGACTAGGGAACCGGCAATCGCATGCCGAACCCGGCCCCCAGTTACAATAAACTCTCCAGGTTCTTATCTGGGATGAGAGGGGTCAGGCTTTGGAGCCCCCTTAATCAAACCACAGCTGCTCAGCTCCCAAGCCACAGCCCCCAGGGAGCCTGCATTCCTCCCTGGCAGGGAACAACCGCCCCCCGCCCCCCCAGGCACTGAGGTCCCCCCTTACGCCTAGCTTGGTGTCTGCATCCACCTGCCTGTGTGACAATCTCTGTGTCAGGCCCACCTCCCTCTCCAGCTTTCAAAGGCAGGATCAGATTCCCATCTCAGTTTCTCTCTCTCTCTCTCTCTCTCACACACACACACACACACACACACACACACACACACGCCCCACACCTGGCTCCATGCTGAGTCTTTCCTCATCGGGCAGACAGTTAACAAGCCCCTTGACCAGACTTCACTCACCCCACAGGCTGCTAAGCCCTCTATGAGGATCCCAGATGAGCCCCGCCGTCTGAAATGATGCTAAGAGCAAGCACTTATGGAGCCGGGTGCCAAGCTCTGCTCTCTGAATCCATGAACTAATTCGATCCTCCCAACAACCCATGAGGAGATACTTCACAGACGGAGGAGACCAAGGCACAGAGAGGTGAAGGTGAAGGATACTGTAGCCGGTAGAACAACAGCCCCCTGAAGACAACCAGACTCTGATCCCCAGAAACGGTGATTGTTCATTGATGTGGCGAAGGGACTTTGCAGATGTGATTAAACTGAGGATCCTAAGATGCAGAGACTATCCTGGGTTTTCTGGGTGGGCCCAGGGTCATCACAGGGTCCTTACAAGTGAGCGGGGATGGGGGACGGGGGACGGGGGGCAGGGAGCCAGCCTCGGAGGGATGCGTGTGAGAAAGACTCCACCAGCTGTCACGGGCTGAAAGATGAAATGGACCGAGAGCCAGGAAATCACGCAGCCGCTACAGACGGAAAAGCCTAGAAGGCATTCTCCCCAGAGCCTCCACACAGGGGGAGCCCTGCCGATGTCTTGATTTTAACCCGGGAGAACTTTTGGGATTTCTGACTCCAGGAACTGCAAGGGGATCGTTTCGTGTTGCTTTAAGCTGCTAGGCTCGCGGTGATTTGCTACAGCAGCCGCAGAAAATGACTGTCGGTACACAGCTGGCCCACGGCAGAGCCCAGCTCAGCCACAGCTGGCCCACACCGGAGCCCCTGCACAATGACAACAAAAGTCACCGGGGCCACCCCTGCCTCCAGGCTGCAGCCTCCTCACCCAGCAAGGGGGAATGCGATCCCACCCTGGCCCTTTGCCACCCACAGAGCAGCATGAAAACCAAACACACGCAGGGCTCACACCTGAGAGTAAGCAGCTCGGCCGGTGTGGCTCAAGAGCTGAGTGTCATCCCGCACCAAGAGGTCACTGGTTCGATTCCCAGTCAGGGCACATGCCTGGGTTGTGGGCTCCATCCCTAGTAGGGGCCGTGCAGGAGGCAGCTGATCAATGTCTCTCTCTCTCAACAATAACAACATATATATATATATATATATATATATATATATATATATATATATAAACATATATATATATATATACAAACATATATATATATATGTATATATATATATTTTTAAAAAGTGTAAGCAGACTGCCATGCAGGAGTGAACTTATTTGCCATTTTTAAGAACTGCCATAAGAACCGCCACCTGTGTGGGAGACAGGGAGGCCCTGGACTCACGGGGCTGCTCTGAGATAGGCTGTTATAAGAAACCAGCCCTGCCTCCAGCTGGGCTTCCTGGAGGAGGTGTTCAGACAGGCCCCGGAGGCTGGCTAGGCTTCCTCTATCCATCAGTCAGCCCAGCGGTCGTGGCAAAAGAGGGTGGGCTGAGGAGGCGGAGACCCCCCCTTCCGTGGAGCCAAGCCGCTCCTGGCTGTGGGGGAGCCGCTCACAGCTCTCACTAGAGTGGAGAAGGCCCTTGGCAGGGAGCAGCAGGGTGGACAGGCTGCCTTGGCCCAGAGGACTTGCCTGGACACGGACAGAGGGGAGCTGGACTCTAACAGCCAGACTCAGGGATGAGCCAGAGGAGACAGCACCCTCCCACCCCCCAAATCCTGCAGCCAGTCTGGGCCCCACAGAGAGAAGTGATGGGCTGCCTGTCCGGGCGTAGCAGACTCTAGTCTCTGCCACTTGATGCTCAAAACCCTGCTGGCTCTCCTGGCCTTGAGGAGAGGACACCCCTTCCACTGCTCTCCGCCATGTGTGTGTGTGTGTGTGTGTGTGTGACCACTTCCCACACAGACTGAGCCTCAAGTCCATCGGGCTTTAGCCCAAAGCATCGCCAGGTCCTCCATGGAGCCCAGCCCGGAGCCAGCACCAGAGAGATGAGTCAGGTGCACTCCTGGCCAGGCCACACCTGTTTGCACTGCCTGGTTCTTTCGGGCTGATGACTGAGCTGGTCCGGTGTGTGGGCAGAAGCACAGGCCAGCTCTCCAGGCCTGAGCCCAGCGGAACATCTCCCATCCTGTCGTGTCATTGTCCCCAAACACCCACGCCCGGCCTCCTGGTTAAAAAGCCAGCGAGGACCGCCTCCCAAGGAGTCAACTCCCCAAGGGAAGGGAAGGAACGGAGCGGGTGTTTTCATAGATTTGTGCTATGAAGCGAACACACACACACACACACACACAAACATGCGGTTTGATTGCCCATTTGAATCTGCTAGAGACGTGGGAGGCTCTGTGAACAGATCCTGGGCACCCAGGCAGGCGGATGCCTCTTGGTGTGAACATGAGGCCTCTCAATGTGACTGCGGCGGGATTGGGAGTTCAGTCAGTTCCTTTTATTTAATCCCGGCAGGAGCACATCTTGCAGCATTTTAGCAGAAGCACATAGGGAGCCATAATTCAACATGCCCATATTTACCTTTGAGGCACCTTCCCAGCATGCACTGCCAGCGTGGCGCACAGGGCACAGCTGAGCTGAATCAGCGTGCACTCGCGAGCACGGCACTGGGAGCGCCTGGGTTGTTGCCAGTGAGCAGGGGCTGCGTTCCCGCCCCCTCCTCAGCCTGTCTTTGCCCCTCCTGCCCTTTCCAAAGGGCCTGGCACAGACCTCTGCACAGTGAGGACTTAGGCGTTTGAATGGATAGTAAAGATGTAAGCCACTAGCTACGGGTATAGCATTTCCCTTTCGAAAGATGAAAAAGTTCTAGAGATTTGTTGCACAGCAACGTGCGTGAAGGTGACATCAGTGTACTGTACACTTGAAAATGGGCAAGAAGGTACATCTTAGATGTCTTCTAACACAATACAAAATGTAAGCAGAGAGAAAGTTCCTAATTCAAAACATGACATCTGTGAGCATTAGAAATGCACAGTGACTGCTCATGGGCAGGGGGTTTCTGCTTGGGGTGGTGACTTTTATGGTACGTGAATTATATCTTTATTTTTTTTAAATGCATGGAAAAGCTGTGGAGCCCTAGGCCTCGCACTGGTGACTGAGGTGTTCCAGGTGAGGCTGAGGTGGCCCTCACAGACTGACTTTTGGAAACAACTGCCCTAGGACAGTATGTTCAGGAATCCTTGGGACCCGCTAAAACGTTTGCAAGTTGGGCCTGAGATTTGGCAGTTCCTACAAGATCCCCGTGATGCTGATGCCACTGGTGGGTGGACCTCACTCTACATGGCAAGGCTCAGGGCACGGAGCTGCTCCCAAACCTCACAGATCTAGGCCCGTTCCTCATTGTCAGTGCCCCCTGAGCCCACTAAGGGGCGCTGTTGAGGGCCTGCCATGGTCCCCCACCCATCCCCAGGCAGTGGAGTGCCAAGGCAGCCGCTAGGAGCCCAGCACAGGGCCTCTCTCATGCTGAGCCACTTCCCTGGGGCAGCTGTCCTGGGAGATATGGGCTGGCTCAGAGCCCTCAGGGCTAGTCCTGCTGGGTGGTACCAGGACCTCCCAGCCTCAGAATCACTGTTCAATAGACCCTCTGGCTAGGCTGGGACCTCCAGTGTCCCCACAGCTTCCCTGGCCCACCTCCTCCCCGGCCTCATCGGCCCCACCCCCACCCAGGGCTGTGCAGGGGCCCTGGGGCTGCTGCCGCATCTCTGGGGGGTGCTGCCGCTGCCAGGCAGTGCTGGGTTGGTTAGATACCAGGAGGAGAAACCCCAGGGGGGAGCTCGAGCAGGTGCCAGGGAGGCCACACCCTCACAGTGAGGCCGTAGTCAGGCTCAGAGCAAGACAGGCGGCTGGTCTCTCCTCTCCGCTGCCCGCCCCACTGTTCTCGCCAGGCTGTGCCCACACACCTGCAGGAATGACAGCTATTCCTGTAGCTGTCTCATCCCTCTTAGGGGACTATAACATTCCCCAGGGGGGCAAGGACAGGGTCTTATTCAGCTTAATACCCTCAGGGTGCCCAGCAAAGTCCCGGGCATCTACAGGGCGCTTGGGACCAGTGGCAGAAGGGCCCACAATTAAACCTAGACCCACTCTCGCCTCACCAAGTAAGATATAGCTGTGCATGGCAGGCGGCCCCCTGAACACGGCCCCTCTCCACGGACGTGTCTGCCCACCCAGCTGATGCTGCTGCCACAGCGTTAAGTGTGGGACTTCCCTGGCCTTACACGTGTCTCAGCCACCTCCTGAGAAAGGCAGGCGTGAGCGGAGGAGGGGAGCGAGAGGGCCTGCATGCAGAGAACGGAGGCAGATCTGAGCCCCTCCTGTTAACCCCTAGGGTAAGGATCGGCATGGGGCCCCGGGGGAGCCATCCTCAGCCCTGCCCAGCCCAGACAGGAAAACCCCAGAGCTGTCAGCAACGGTCTTGGTTACTTCGTCCCTCACTGGGCAGCTGTCTTCGTGAGCCTCTTGCCCGCCCAGAGGTTCACGGGTGAGGTCTCTGCCTTTGGCCCTCCAGAGCGGGGAACGAAGAGGGACCTTCGGGGGCTCCATCCGGCCAGCCCACCGCACCCACAACTAATCACACGGCTGAGCCCAGCAGCACGGACGCCCAGGACTCTGCAGCCAGCTCTGCCCTCTCGGAGGGCTGTCTGTGGGGCCCCTCTTCTGAAGTGGGGAGAACAGCCGTGCCTGGATGCTGGCACCCCGTCCCATGGGTGGTCCAAGACCAGTACATGTCCCCCATACTCCACGGCTCTCCTGGGCGGCCACAGCTTTTTTAGGCTGTGGTTTATATATATTACTGAACACTAACCCGAGCTCTTTGAGATACTCCGAAACTGCAAACACTGTGTCAACACCTAATCAAAAAGCAAGCGCTGCACCCCCTCGGAAGATGCCCATGTGCCGAGGAGCCAGAGGCCTCTCTCTTGGGAAGTGGTTTCTCCTTGGCTGAGGTCCCTGCGAGTGGGTGGGGAGGTGCAGGGGGAGGGGACACCTGGGGACAGTACCAGAGCCAGGGGACACCGACAGGCCTCATTCCTTCCGGCACGTTCAGTAGCTTAGCTCCTAGGACATTTCTCTCCTGAAAAATCAGAGCAGGGTTCCCCAAACTTCCACGGGCCCAGGACTCCACTGGGACCTTGTTACAATGCAGGTGTTGGCCGGCAGGTCTGGGCTGGGGTCGGAGACTCTACATTTCCAACCGGCTCCTCCCGGCGGATGATCGGGCTGCTTGTTTGAGGACTTGGCCCTGCCCTGTCCACCCGCCACATGGGGCCCAGAGGGCACGCCGAGCAGGCACTGCCCGCAAAGGATATGAATGAACCAGGATCTTCACGGCCGCTCTCCGGATGGGGTGGAAGGGGCTGAGGACGTACAAGGCGTTGGTGGCACTGAACCGGAAGATGGTCTTGCCTTTATTCAGCACGATGAAGGTCTGTGGACAGAGAGCTGCTTTAGGTCGGGGTGGAAGCCCCTCGGCCCTTGTGGAGACAGGTTTGGGGGGCAGTATTGGCTTAAACCCTAGAGCCCTGGCTAAGGGGTGGGGTGGCAAGAAGAGAGGGCCTGAGGGAGGGGTGAGGGATGGGGGAGCAGCATATTCTGAAGGTCATTGGACTCTCACTGGGTCACCATGGCTGGGAGGGGGTGAGGTCAAGTTTAGGAGAATGTCAAGGGTGGGTGGGATTTCCTTTACGTTCAAAATGACCATCCCAACAAGAAGGGCTCTCCTGATCCTGGCTGAATTGCTGTCACAGCAGCGGCCGGGGCTCAGCGGACGCTCCCTCCTTCTCCTTCTCCCTTGGACCTCTCCCTGCCTGGTGTGGCTTCCCCACTGGACCACGGGGGAGTGAAGCCCGAGGGGTGAAGACCAGGGTGGGGAAAGGGCAGACCCTAGCCCAGCAGAGAGCAGCGTTCCCATGACCCTGTCTCCCTTCCCATGACCCTGTCTCCCGGAGCCCAGGACAGATGTCAGCCCCACCCCGTGACACAGTGTCTCCCCTGGAGGGATTGTGAGCAGCCCAAGGTAGACCCTTCCCCAAGCTCCCAGAAGACACTGTCTACACAGCACGATGGGGCATGAGCATCGTGGCCGAGCCTCAGGCGCATCGAGTGGGTGTTTGGGCCGGCCCCCGAGGACAGCGGCCATGCCCCTGCCCAGCTGTACGGTGGCACGGCCGAGGCGGCACGGGGCTGGGCTCTCGCTTCTCTAAGGCGGCCGTTGCTGCTGAGACAAGGCTCTGTTTAATCTGGGTAGGGGGACGGGTTGACCAGATATCCCAGGACCAAACGTGCTGCTGTGGTGCCTGCCTTGCCCTGTGGGTTGCGGGCAGTGTGGCCGGGGTCAGAAAGGAGAGACAGAGGTTAGAGACCAGAATCATACCTGGGCCTCGGTTCAAGTATTCCCGGTCACAGGGACAGAGAGAGTGTCCCTGACTCCTTCCAGGCCCAGCTGCCACCAGCCCCCGCAGCTCAGCTCAGCCCTGCCGTTGGGTCCCCGTGCCACGACTGCTGCCTGTCCCAGCGAACTACGACCTAACCACCCCTTTGAGTTGCCATGGTAGCCTTGACTTGCCACCAGCTGCGGTCTTACCCCCACCCTAATTCTTACTTCTAGCTCTGACCAACCATGACCTAAGCCCACCCACCCTGACGAATCCCAACTCCCAGCCTAACTCTGACCCAAACTTGGCCCCAGCCACCAACCGGAACCCCGCCTGAGTCACGTGAACCAGGGGGAAGCAGGGCAGGTTCAAGGTCTCCCTGCCCACCTGTGCTCACACACAGATGTGGCTTTCCCTTCACCCTTGCCCACTCCCACCAGCATTGACGCGTGGAGACAGTCTGGAACCATACCACCCTCAGCCCCTTAGTCTCCTAAATGCCATCTCACACAGTCAGGTGCCCGGTGACACAGACACACAGCACTTACACCGGCCATGGACTTGTACCCGCCCTGGGAACACAGGTCCCCGCTGTGCTCACTGCTTCCTCCGCCCTGTGCTGACTGCAGCCCGTGAGCAGCCACTGTCCACGGTCCCTGCCTTCTGGGGAAAGTTGTCCCCCCAGTTCAAACCCACTTTCCTCCAGCAGGGAGGGTGAAGTGAGGGTGGCCAGGCTGGGGACCAGGCTTCTGCAGGAGCCCTGCGTGCCCGGGGTCTGGCCGGGTGCAGGGCTGGGCATTCAGTCCTGAGAGGTGAGGTCAGGGCAGGGGACTCCGACGGGGAGCTCACCTTCTGGATAGAAATCTATACGAGGCGGGAGCCTGACTCACCCTGTCCAGTGGGTAAAAGCCACCTCCTCTCCCTACACAGAGGAGGGACAACGGCAAGACAAGCCCCTCCCCACCCCTCTCAGACTTCCCACCGGCCAGCTTGGTCCCGCTGCCAGCCAAGGCCCAGTGGGTCCTCTGAGGCTGCCCACCGTCCCCAGTGAGGAGCGGGGACGCCGTGCTCTGGGGCCCAAACTCAACTCAGGACAGGACTCAGGGCCCGCCTCCAGCTCACACACACCATGGGGATGGGGTGCAGAGCTCCGCAGGTGAAGGCTAACCCCAGACAATTCCCCAAGCAGGGACTCCACCGGGTAGCAAGACTGTCACTGTGGCTGCCCTCTCTTTCCTCCTAACACCAAACAATCCCGGCTGCATATGTCTGGCCTTTTATTCTGGAACTCCAAAAGGAAGGTGATTGGAATATAGATCACTGATGACTCACTCCCCCAGCGCCCAGAGGAGCCCGCCCCAAAGAGCCCAGTGTGATGCCAAGGCCCTGTCCCCAACTGCCCGTTGGGGAAGCGTGGGAAGGGGTGGGGGAGTGGGGAGTGGGGGAGTGGGGAGTGGGGGAGGGGTAGGGGAGGGGGAGGGGGAGGGTCACGGGGTGGGGAAGTGCAGTCACCTTTTGGGTGCTATAGAAGGGGTCCAAGTCCTCCAGGGGCTCCCCAAGGAGCTCTCGGGGCGGGTTGCCGTAGAGATCCGGCAGCTTTTTCGAGGCCTGCAGGTCCAGCTGGGGTTGGAGAGCCTCCTCCTCGGGCAGCCCGTCCCGGCTCTCCTGCAGGGTGGCCGAGCCCCGGGCTTGCTTCTCCGCCATGCGCTTCTCGATGGCCGCCAGGGACTCCCGGGTGAACCTGTGGAAGCTGCTGGGGCCCCGAGGTACCAGGACGTCTGCCATCTTCTCATCCTGCTTCTGGGGCCCAGGCTGTCCTCCGGCCGCCTGCGGGGAAGCTGGAAGACACAGACGCCAGGCCTGACGCCACGCCCAGGGCCAGAGGGCAGGGTGGCGGACCTGCGGGGGAGCGGCTGTGCTGGCGGAGGGAAGGGCACGGTGTGCGAAGATGCTCCCAGACCAGGCCCGGTCTCCCCACGGGCACACCTGGTGGCTGCTGGCCTGGGTAAGCCCGGGGCCCTCCAGGCTGTGGGTGTGCACAGGGGCCCACAGGACCGTCACTCCTCACACCCCAAAGAGCACGTCTGAGTGCCAGTGGGCAAGAGTGATGGCGTCACCGAAGCTCCTCTTTCTGCCCCACTCAGCACAGAGGGAACACTGGCACCTGTTGGCTCCTCCTCCAAGCGCACTTTTTAAAATGTTTTCAAAAATATATTTTTATCAATTTCAGAGAGAAAGGGAGAGAGAGAGATAGAAACATCAATGAGAGAGAATCATTGATTGGCTGCTTCACACATGCCCCCTACTAGGGATCGAGCCCGCAACCTGGGCATGTAACCTGGTTCACAGGTCGATGTTCAACCACCGAGCCACCGCGGCTGGGCCCAAGTGCCCTTTGAGACACTTCTCACAACTGTGTGACACACTGTGGACCGAGAGGGACACCCCAGGGGGGCGGGGGCGGGCCTGCCCTCTCTTTATCTCAGATCTCTGGCAGGGCTGGTCCTGAACCAATGAATGATGGACTGAGTGATAAAAAGAACACATCGGTGAGGGGCCAGGACACTAGAAGGTCCCAGTGCAGCCCCCTCTCAAGCTTGTCCCTCCCACAGGAAACCCTGGGGCCCTGGGAGGGTGATCAGACGCCTCCTGGACCGAAGCCCACACTCTGGGCTTCTTTTCCAGCCAGGGTGGTGGGTCGCAGAGTGGGGGACACTCTGTCTGGTCTCCCCACCCCACCATGGGCCTGCCTGGGGGAGGGGGGCCAGACTTCACGTAAGGCCTGGAGATGCCAACATCTGGCAACAGGCGGGGGCGTCTGTGTCTGCCAAGAGACCCAGGCAAATCCTGTGGGCTTCTGGGAACAGCTGGATAACACGTTCGGAGTTGTCATCCAGATGTTGGCACCCGGGGGTACGCAGCTGCTGAGGAGCCCTGCTGAGAAGATTGCCATGAAATCCCTATGGTGAGGCATCCTTGCAAAGACAGGAAACGCTGACGGAGCATCTCAGACACCTCAGGCCTCCGCTAGGCACCCCCTCCCCCCCATTCTGAACAAAGGAGGGCTGATCCCAAGTGACAGCAGAACCGGAAAACGATGGCCTCTCATCCGCTAGGTCGTGCAGCCGGCACATGCGTGCGGCGCCAAACCGGGAGAATGTGGCCCCCGGTGGCCTCAAATGATCCAGGACCTGGTGTGAACATGCTCTGCCCATGACACAGCGACCAAGGAATGCGCTCCCGACTGTCCCACCAAAACAGGATGTGGCCGGCACAGCTCCTGACCAGGACACGGCTGGGAAGCGGTGTCGCTAATTACATCAGCCCCGGGAAGGGCCAGCACCGGCTCCGAGGGCAGGCGGACACCTGTTGGCGATCGCTGCCAGGGCAGAATCCCTCTCTGTCACCCCAGGGCCAGCGTGGCCCTGATCTTACTCCTGCGAAACCTGTCACCGGGGACCCCACACGCAGCCCTCCAAGGCGCCCAGCCCCAAGCGCTGTGGATGGATCGCTGTGAGTCGGGCACCTGGCCAGGTGGCAGGTAAACAGCGAGCAGACACAACACAGGCAGGCCTCGCCAGGGCGCCTCCGCTCCCCGGGAAGCGCAGCCCAGAATGTGTGCGGCCGGTGGAGGAGGACCTGGAGGTCCCGGGACCTCCGCTTTGAAACCACCCTCTCCCCCAGCCCCCTGTCACCCAAGTCAAGTTAGAGAAGCCTCCTGGTTACGATGGCAGGTGAGGAAGCAGGTTCCCGTGGATGAGAGGATGGGTCTGTCTACCTTCCACCTTTGAACACAACAGGCACGACCTCGTCCCTGAATGGGAATGGCGCGCTCTTTTCTCAGTTTGTGGAAATCGGGGTAACTGTAAATAACCACCTTTGTGCTTTTCTTCTGTGCTTGAGTTATTGAAGGTGATCACGTATTATTTTTAGGAGAACAATAATGTCAGTATTCTTTTTACGAAAACAAAAAAACAACAACAAAAAAGTCCACCTGGATGCAAGGCAGTCTTTGCCACCGTGAGCCACCACTAGACCCGTAAATCGGGAAACCTCCTCTTTGCTTGGCATTATTTCCTAAAAATAGTGTCTCTGCCTCTGCCTCACTGTATCCATCTGTGTCCACAGGCCTGTAACGGATCTGGAGAGACGCATATGTCATGGACCTGCAGAGGCTCACCGGTACACACCGGTGTGTGTGTGTGTGTGTGTGTGTGTGTGTGCGCGCACGTGCACGCAAGCTCACACCTGCATGTACGTCTGTTCTAGTAAAGGCGGTTTTGTTGTTGTTGTTTTTAATCCTCACCCAAGGATGTTTTCTTAATTGATTTTTTTTTAGAGAGAGAGAAAGGCAGAGAGAGAGAGAGAGAAGAGAAACACTGGTTGCTTCCTGAACGTGCCCTGACCAGGGATCGAACCTGCAACGTAGGCATGTGCCCTGACCAGGAATTGACCTGTGACCTTTTCGGTGTCCGGGACGACTCTCCAGCTAACTGAGCCGCCCGGCTAGGGCATGAAAGATGTTCTTAAAATTTGTATTGAAATCAACTATTCCTGCAGATTGGTGAACAGATCCTAAGTGTACAGGTGGGTGAATTTCCACAAACTGAACCACTTGGTAACTAGCGTCCAGGTCGAGAAATAAGTTGCTCCCAGCCCTTCAGACGGGTTCCCCTCCCATTACTAACTAACTACCCTCCCTCACCAAGGATAACCCTTGTTCTGACTGCCAACAGCATAGATTAGCTTTGCTTCTCCCTGTAGTTCACGAGCTCCTAACAGACCTCTCACAGGGATGGGGAAAGAATGAAAGAATCGGGGTGGGGGGAGGTAGAGAGGGGCGGGGCGGAGTGCATCTCACTCTCATTAACCTCTTCCTGAAATTTAGCGTTCCCTCCCCTTATGAATGCAGGTAGCAAAATGGAAGTGCTTACAGTGCCCACGGCCACTAGACACTGAGCCTAAGTCCCTGTCCCAGCACAGGCCCGCCAGGTATCTGGACTATGCTCGTCGATACTTCAAGATTACAATACCCACCGACCCGCTCTACAGCACATTGTTCGATACGTTAGTAAAGAGGCCCTGAGGATGGGGCCCTGGGTCTCAGGAAGGGCCCTTGGGGTAGAGTGGCTTCTGAAACCAGATTCCAGACCAAGGCCCCTGCTCCCCAGCAGCCAGGCGGCCTCAGGTTCCAAAGTAAACCAGCGGGAGTGTCCTTTGTCCCTGGGCCCCCGCAGGCGGCTCCTGTAGGCGGCGGGATCCATTCTCTCCCTGGTTCCTGCACCTGGCTCTGGCCCTGCCCTTCCTCCAGCAGCTCAGGGCCCACGCCCTGCTGTGGCCGAGCCTGGCTGAGCCCTGGCTGCGAGGCTTCCGGTGATGCCAGGGCAACGAAGGTCGGAGGTGGTCTGAGGGCGCTCCGGGCTCAGGCCCAGCCAGTCAGGTCCCCCGCCCTCCGGGGAGGACCGAGTCCCGGCTGGGGAAGACCAGGGGGGCTCTCTTGCTCCAACATGCGGGGGAGCGTGGATCTGATTTGACCCAAAGCCCACAGCTACTCTGGTCAATACCAGCCTCCATGACACTCTTCTCTCTCCCGGGACAGCTTCTCCCAGCTCCCCCTGCTCCTGGGCCAGTCTTCCCTGCTCTGGGGACACCCCCCCCCACTCCATCCTGTCCCAAGTTCTTCAGCTTCTGGCTAGCGAGAACACCTCTCCCTAAGTTCTGCCGGCTCCCAAGAATCAATAGGAGCAAACTGTGAGTGAACTCTCCTTTCAGACTGCTACCTACATGCTCCCGCTGCCCTCCCCCTGGCCCCTCCCCGTGCACCTCCACCACTCCCAGCTCAGACATCCCCAAACTCTTCCCCTGCCCTGTGTGACAGTACCCCGGTACCCCAACTCCTCTGGGGCCCCTTCTCTGACTGCCCACCCACACTGACCGCCCTCCTCGGGGCCGGGAGGCTGAGCCCCGCCTGCAGCCCTTGACCCCTTCCTTCCTGGTCCCCACTGTCCTGACAGCTGTCGGGTGAGTCTGGCCTCCCCAAACAGCCGGACAGCCTGTGCTTTGGACAGGGCTGGCGCGCCTCTGAGTCACTGAGGATGGGTGGGTAGTCACCTCGGGGCAGAGATGCTAGGGGGGCAGAATGCTGACTGTTCACACCCGAAAATGGACTCCCCTATACTGTCTCCTCTTTGTCGCCACCTGGACAAGGGACATTTTCCTGGACACACGGGGCACACTGGTGACTGGTGCTCCATCAATGGTGGTCACATGCCCTGACACGGAACGGGACAGCATGTGCAGCGGCGGGTACTGTCGAAGGGAGTGACCAGCACTGAGATTCCTGCCTCCAGAGACACCCTCAGTCCCGGACACCAGGACACCCGGTCATCCTCAGCGTGAGACGGGCGACCCCAGCCTCACCCCTCCTCGCAGCCCCTGCCGGCCTGTCAGAAAGCAGGCAAAGGCCTGCATCCTGAGTCACGTCTGGCATTCTGGTCTCCTTGGAGTCAGAGCCTCAGGAACACAGCACGGGAAGAAAATTCTCTGCCATGTAAATTTATGCAAAGCGCCCCGCGGAAGTGGTTCCCGGGCTTCCTGGAAAATCTCTGGGCACGAGCTTCCTAGAATATCTCAGCTGGCCGCCTCTGTGGGCACC